GTGGTGGTGGTGGAGAGTGGGAGTAATGATATTATAGCATTAATTTTTACCCCCTTTGGAGCGTTTGGGATCAGGTGATGTGCTGACGCGAGCTGCACAGACGGTGATATGCTGACGTGAGCTACACAGACGCGGTGGTTTTTTTTTCTTGTGTTCTGATACACGAATTTCGAGTGGGAGCGGTCGAGAGCTTTTTTTTTCCTTTTTGATGGCTTTTGGATGAGTGTGATATAGCCTCAAAGGGAGTCTCGAAGCATCAGCTCAGAGACGTTCGAAGCTCTAGGTGAGTTTTTTTTCCTTGAAGCGGATGAGCAGGTTATGGTTGTGTGTTTTGTGCGTTGATGCGTGCACTCGTGCAGAGAAATCCACCGGTTTCTTTTTCATCTATTTACTAGCAGTTGGAGATGAGTGGACGCTCATTCGCCTTCCAAGAGACATGGGGGGTTTTTGGAGTTAGAAAAGAGAGGTCAGGTGAGTTGGGTTTTTTTTTGTTTGTTTTTTTGGTATTTTTGTCAATGGAATGAGCGAGCGCGCGCATTAGAAGGAAGCTACTACTAAGTTGGGCCTTTTTTTCCCCTGAATTTTTTTTATTCAAACGGTTCTGTCTAGTCGCTTTTGACATTTAGTGTCTATTAGAAATCAAAGACCAACGTTACTCGATCGCCTTCTATGGTTAAATAGGGTAGATATTCCACGAAATGTATTCCCAGCCAAAGCGTTCCAAGTTGTAGATTTTCTTGGAAATCGCGGTTCGCTCTGACGATGGCCGCACGATTTCCACTTTCCCAAGCGGCTAGTCGTTGTTGTCTGCTTTCTTTTAAACCCTGTAGGGAGGGTAAAAAAAAGCACTAGTTTTGAGTGACTGTAGGTTTTTTTGTTTGTGGTAGGGAGGTGAAAGCACCAGCTTAGAAAGACTTACTTCGATGAAGTTGGCCTTCATTTCGGGAAGGCGTTGGAATCGTTCGACTAGTGGACGTTGGACGAGACCTTGTGGCAGTGTTTGTTTGCAGCAGGGACACTCAATTGAGCAGCCTTGCCAGATCCAATCTTGTAGGCAATGGCTATGCATTTTAGCCCGACAACAGGGTAATGATTCGCCTCCGTTTTCTAGGCAGATCGGACAAGCGCCTGACTGGAAAAGAAAAGAATCGACCGTGAGTGACGAGCAAGGCTTGGAAAACGTCAAACTCGGTAAGGAGTAAATTTCTTTTTTCGTTTACTATCTAATTAAAGGGGATTAGAGGTTTTTTTCTGCCAGCTCTATAAAAAATAAGTTATTAGATCAAGCAATTTTGGGTTTGATTTTGTTTTTGGCTAGACATAACGTCTCTCGCTTGAGCGGATTTTTTTGATGGGGCGGGATTGTTGGCGTGTACGCGTCAGCAGTAGCGATTGAGCGGCGAATTCTCTTTACACCTTGTTTTAATAAGAAAGGTTTTATTGATATTGTTATCTATCGGAAAAAAAGACAATGGACTGCTAATCGTTGACCACTCGAAATTCGTGTAGAGGAAAAAAACAACAAGTTTAATTTTTTTTTTGTAGTTGACTCAAAGCAAAAGAAATGTGGTGGCGTCAGTTGACTTTGTGGCGCCCAATTTGACGGGCTTGTTTAAAAGAAAACCCATTGAAAGCAAAATCTTTGTCGAGTTTTGAGAGGCGACGATGAATAAAGAAAAAAACAAGTAAGACTTATTTGCTCTTCTTCAGGTTTGAGTCCTTGATCCTATTGACGCAATCAAAGAGAGGAAAAAATGTTAAACCTATGGCGTTATTAAAGTTTTGAACTGTTGACGCAAATCGTGTGACTGTGCTTGAGATGGTTGGTTTTTTCCCTACCCATGAGTAAACAGAGAAAAAAAACAGATGGGGACGTGATCGGTTCGGATTGTTTGTTCTCCACCGGCTCAACGGTATGCTTTGCTAGGACAGGACAGTTTTGCAGGTGTTTTCGTAGGTGGTCTTTGCGCTTGAAGATCTTGGTTGGCCAAACGTAGGCACGGATAGGTCGGCCGCGCGAAGGCTTCGTTGTGTTGAGTCTGGAGGTGGCGGCGATAGTGTTCTGGTCGGGAAAGGTCTTTGTGCAAAATGGACACTCTGTTCTGATGTGATTTTGGCCGTGTTTTTCTCGCATGTATCTACAACTGCAGTACAAATATGAATTATTTCATATATTCTTCACATCACTTCACTGCACGGGAAAAATATGAACTCGATAAATTGACCTCACTCCCATCGTGTGGCTTCATAGCTCAGTTGGTAGAGCATCGCACCGGTATCGCGGAGGTCACGGGTTCGAATCCCGATGAAGCCCTGATTTTTTTCAGGCTTCTTCTTTCCAATTGTTTAAATTGGAAAATTTACTGCGATGATCACTCTTCACATGCCTATACTTTATTGCTAAATTTGTTATTTAACTGCAAAGCAAATTTATAATTTATGAGTTCCCTATTGTTTTGGCCTCGAAGTAAGTAAGTAACAATTTGAGATGATTTATAATTCATCGGCTTTACAAGTAAAATATAGTGAACACAACTTATCGCTGGAAAGAAAACATTGACGCAAGACCGTTACCATACAAAAGTTAAACAAAAATCTGTCAAGACCTAATAAACACCGGTTAACGTGATTCATTTTGGTGTGATCAACCGTAGCAACGCTGTTCTCTTATCTCAATGTAACTGAGTAATTCATACGTTTTTTTTTTCATTCCTTCTGAGGGAGCAGAGACTACAAGATGTCGCACCAAGCGACTCTTTGGAGGGCAACGTGGTTGCTTTTTACAATGTTTGCTGTGTTTTCTGTAAGTTTGGTTTTGTGCAATATACATTTTCTAGCGCTGTAAATTTTATTCCAATTGTTTTCAGGCTCAGAAACAAAGGCACAATTCACACTAGTTAATGTGTTATGTGTTCCTCATTTTTCACCCTTTCTGTTTCTTAGGAACACTTCTAAATTTCTTTTTCTTAGGAACACTCCTAAATTCCAATTTGATCCGGAATTCGAGGGCCACAAGTTTGTTAGTCATTGACTATTAAGTGCTACCCTCGTTAAACAAAGTCAATTTATTTATTTTATTTATTTTTACTGATGCAGTCCTCAATATGTTCACCCACTCTTTTTCGTACCTTTTAGCACGGACGGACTTTTAACTTGTGTGCTATGGTACATTTTGATATACACATTTCGCTACCACTGTTGTATTTTGTATGTATGTTGTTTTGCCATGTTTTTGTTTTCGTTCTTTTTACAAGCATCATCGTAGTTCACACTATTAATCAGTGAGCGTTCGCTAACTAGAGAGACTAATTGTTTTGTTGTTTTTAGTTGCTATTCATAATCTCAGTAACAATTGTTTGAGTGTATACATTATTAATTTGGTTTCAATTCCTTTGTGTTTCTAAAACAAAAGAACGAATTTCCCTTTGTAATTTATGCTCCAAATCTTACAGTTGCGATGATCGTAGACAACACAGTACTGCGAGACGAATGACAATATTTTATCGCTTAAATTTTGTTTAAAAAAATTTCAGTAAAGCATACTTTTTTCCATCCATTTTGGCTTTGTTGCATCCCGATTTGTAGCAATTTTAGAAACATGAAATTCGATATTAATTAACGTTTTGAAACTTTACGGTTGCCAGGCTTACTTGATACTCCCCACGAATTGAATATCATAAGGCCTTTTAAAGCTGGTTTTCACTAGGAACATAAGCATAAGCATAAGCAACATACGCAAACGTACCCTTTGTTAGGACAAAAGGCACTGATTAACAACAAGTTACTGCGTCTGCGTATGTTGCTTATGCTTATGCTAATGTCCTAGTGAGAACCAGCCGTTACAGTGGGAAGTGTTTAAGAATGTTACTACTTAGACCAAAAATGTGATTTTCAATGTTCATAAAAATCAAGATATGACGATCGAAAGACTTCCAATTCCTCAAGACTCTAGTTGAGGACTTATGAAAGAAATTGAAGGTCAATTTTTCAACTGCTAATCGTTCCGCTTTTTAAGACCCTACTCATTATCAAATTTCTAGCTGATCCAGGCTAACAGATGTAATGATATGACACTGACCTTAATTTAAACTTTTGTGAACTATGCAAGTTTAACATATTAATTTTAACGCGAACTTGTATTTTTTTCTTAAGCGAGTACCACCAATCGTAATTTTACTAAATATTATCCCATAGAGAAACGGTGACGAGAATTTGAGAATCAACCCACCCTAATCAGTAGATCCAACTTCATTTACACTGACAATTTTGCACGCTTTTGTGTCTCTGTGTAATTTTTAACACTTTTCAGAGAGCTGTGGCGTTCAAAAACATCTCAGTGCATCACGACGAAACCGATGAAAGCGATAAAATAGGAGAATTATTGGGGACATCGTTCCAGGCCAAATGGTTCACTGGCTTATCTAACAATATGTTAAGTGACATCTCATTTGCGTGGAGGAAACAAGGCATACGCTTTGATCCAATCGCCATTATTCAAAGTATTTCTGACCTACTGAAGAAGGAAAGCGAGGCACAAGGAAAGCCGTTGAACGACTGTTTCTATGAAAGCTTGACCGATTTGGAACGAGATCCTGACTTCATCCAACTGCTCAATGAGTTTAATGAAGGAATAAATAATGAAAGAAACATCATGACAATAGGTATGTTTCAGATATTGTTATTAATGGCATTATAAATTGGAAAAACATTTACTATACCATATGTAATATGACCATTTCAAATAAAGTAGATACTGCATCATACCACACAATGCTATACCATACTGTACTGTATGGTAACATACCATATCACACTCGGCACACCATACCATACCATACCATACCATACCATATCATACCAAACCACACCAAAACACCACACAACACGACATGTCTGACACCACACGCCATGCCCGACTACATTACATGCCATGCCACGACACGCAACGCCACGCCACGCCACGCCACGCCACGCCAAGCCACCGGCGACACGACACGACACACAACATTTTTCTGAATCACGAAAGACTGAATTTGTCACTAGCAAAAGAAAATAAAACCAAAAATGTTGTTTAGGCTTTTTTTCCTTTTCGACAAAGACAAATATACATTGCCCTGCGCACCCCAACTATCACTTTCTTTCTTTGTATGTAGGATCCAATTTGCCAGAACTTCAAAAAGATGATAATCCCATCAAAGATGTCGGTCTTAGGGGCGAAGTAATTACTGGCGAAAGTTCCGATGCAGAAAACGATTTGATAAGATACAGTAACTACATCTCAGGAGCTGGATCTACATTTGGTGGTTTTATGTCTGGCTTTCCAGGAGATGCCCAAAGTTTGGTCACAGGTAACTTTTGCAATAACATGGGCCTCTGTAAAAGAAAAGACCTTATATTCATATGGTCGTTAATCAACTAGATATTAACTGGTTTTCTATAGAGTCGTTTTCTACGTTTATCACGTTTGCAAACTGACGTATACACGTTTGCGAGCTGTCCGCTAGACGTTTGCGAACTGACCGCAGACATCTTAACAAATATAGATTCCTTTCGAAAGTAACTGCTTTCAGTCCAAAGTCGTTTGATCGAAGTTGATCGTCTATAATGCTTAGAAGAGGAACGATGACAATGATTGCAGAAAGATCTGTCGCGAGCACGAAGCTTTGGTAAATAACAGATTTTCCTAAACCGTCGGTAAAATGGATAAGACGTCTCTTCCAGAAAGCAAAGGCGCAACCTTAATCTGTTCGTTCTTCAAGTAAGCCTTCCGTAGCGTTCTGCTAAACGCACTTCAACTGCTTACTGCTTCTTCTAAACCTGAGACGAAATTTTGTGTATCCGTCGATAGCAGTGACAACTGATGTGTCAGCATGTTAAAATTCGTCAAATTTAGATGACAACGTGTTCACAAGATTTTAAGGTTTCTTAGCCAATCCAGTTGTCCGATGCTGGGTCTGCGGGGAAATTTAAGCACGTCGGACAGTGCAGTCACAGTTCCCGCCTCGGCCCGTTCACTCTCACCAGTCCCGCTGAGCCTAGACTCGCCCAAAAAAGGACTGCTCGCAGTCTAGAATCTCTAAAAATAGGCCGTTAGGTCATCGTCAAATTCGCTTCCAATTTCCCAAATTTTAGGGCGCGTCCAATGTGGCGGACGGCACGATCAAGGTAAGCCATTTTAGAGGCGCGCGTGCCTTCCGTGATTGGACTGTCTGTATGATTTTTTAAACCATTTCCATTAATATTTTTATCAAGGTAATTATGGGACAATTCCTTGTTTATACGCAAGAATCTATTTTCCCTGCAAATGCCAGAAATTTCACCACTAATTTCTGTGTCCATTAATCACGTTAATAAAACTATTTGCACCCGGCTATAGACAAGAAGTGAGCCTCTACCCAGCTCTCTAATTAACTGAAATATCTGATGAGGCGTTTTGTTATTTTTGTAGATATGATGGACAGCATGAATTATAAGGTCAATGCTCTGGAATTTAGACTGAAGCGGGACGCGAAGCTTGAGGCACTTAGAAAGCTGGATATGGAGATAGTAGTTGAAAATACCATTGAAACTGACTCAGATCTTCGAGCAAAGAGAGTAGGAATGAAAGACGTCCAAGACATAGTTGTGGACGAATCATTTGACAACATCAAGAAAGTCAGCGGTGCCAGTAATCAGCAGAAGTTGACCCAGCAGAACTTTAATACTCAGAAGAAAATATCACAGATGAAAGTAAGAGAATCAGCGAAGAAATATGCAAGAAAATTTATGAAAAAAGTCGGCAGTGGCATTGAGACATCTACTACAGCATTCACTTTTGCACAAGGAGGGGTTGATGTAGCAGGTGGAAGTGACATGATCGACAAAGCTGAAGAACTAAGAAATTCGGGAGCCATTTCAGAGGATGAATATGATACGATGATGAGAAATGGTCAGCTTCGAGTAGCTCAAGGAAGCTTTGGTCTCGCAAACGGTGTTAAGAACGTTGGTGAATTTGTCGGTAAAAGACTCCAAAAAACTATCGTAGATAAAGGTTCTAAAGCTGGATTAAAGCTCCTGAAACAAGCACAACGGTTCGCACCAGTAATTGGTGGTATGATATCCATGGGAACAACTGCAACATCAATTGCCAAGAATGCAATCGCCGCGAATGATGCTATGATGCAAGGAAATGCCGGCAAGGCCGCCATGTATGGAGTAATGGCAGCTATTGATGTAATAACTTTGATTCTGGACGGAGCAAGCTTAGTCACAGACTTTGTATTTCCACCGCTATCACCAATCATTGACCTTGTCAGTACAGTCTTGCAAGTTGTCAACACAGTGCTTGGGTTCTTTGCTGACTTGATAGACTTCCGATCCACTAAACAAAGAGTGACCGACGAATTCAATGCTTACATCAATTCTGATGCGTTTAAAAATTACGTAGATGACATGGCACAGACATACAAGAAACGAGGCTTTGATGTATTTACTTACATTGTAGATGCAGAAGTGGCAGGTATCGAAGCTGACACCAAAACCCTGCGAGAAGTCTCCAAGAATATCAACAAGTGCCTCACTGATAAAGCCAAAGAGGATTTCAATAATCCACAACATCGCATAGCATTGCTAGATGCAACGTCTTTCGGCAAAACTTTAAAAGGAAGACTTAATAATGATGAAATTATAGCCGGTTTTGGTCCAGATGAAATCTTTGGCGACGAAGGCGATGACATGCTGTTTGGACGAGGAGGAGATGATACCATTTATGGTGGTCCAGGAAATGATTACCTCAACGGTGGAACAGGACGAGATGTTCTTCTAGGTGGAACAGGTGATGACATGATTAACTGTGAGCCTGCTGTTGATTTGAAATGTGAAGGAGGTGAGGGGGACGATACCTTAGAGTTATCTGGCGAATCTTTGATCTACGACGACAAATACTGGAAAGCCCCGTATATAACAATGGGCAAGCAATGGGAAATGAATCCTTCAAAAGTCTCAGCAGTTAAGGGGATTTATCTTGATATGAGACATGCAAAAGGAGACACAAAGCAGGGATTATCGGGGATCAGTTTGGGATCCCTCTTTCAAGGTTGGCCTGATGGATTTGATGAGTCCATTCATAAAGCAGCAATACCGCAAAATTCAGAGCTCCACTCTCTGTTTAGTCAATTTTACGTCTTTTTGCCGTTTGTACCTCTTGACAACTGGAGGGAGAAACTAAGAAATAAACAGATGTGGTTCTTAGCTGATAGTGATATGGCAAAGATTTTCTTTGATGGAAGTTCCATGTATGTAGCTTATGGCAGTGGCAAAGACACCATGTTGGTGAGTGATTACCAAAATGTACTCCAAAATCTGGACACATCATTTGCTGTTTATAAGAAGGATCGTCTACAGTACACAGACGGTGAAAAGATTAAGGCTCTTTTGACATTTGCTTTTAAAAGAAGCTTTTTATCTGACAAGTTTGAAAAAGTAGCTGGCTCACCACCTGCTGATCTCCTAAGCCCATCAAATTACATCCCTACAACTATCATCGGTGATAACGAACATAACGTAATTGACTTGTCTTATGGTCTTGGTGACGTAGTTTACACTAATAAAGGAGACAACGTTGTTTCTGTTGGAACGACTATGCCAGAACATCAAGTGAAGGTTGACGGATTTCCTGACGGGGGATTTAAATGGGCTAAATACATCGTAGGAGGTAGTGGAGAGAATACACTGATAGTACAGTTCATGAAAACTCCAGAGTCGTGTCCGGGGGGACTACAACAGTTTTATCAGAACTGGGCTCTTCTAGACTTAGATGTGAAATTGAACAGTGAAAAAAATGTCGGCATTATGGAACCACATCTCATTTACGCAAAGAACATAAAAACAGTGGAAGTTCATCGTCCACCCAGTGGCTGTCATAGTTTAGTGTCTTTTAGTGCTAAATATTATAGTGGGGCGAGTCGTTTTATACTTGACGAGACGAGCCTTTTCGAAGGTCCTGACGAAAGTGAAAGGGACGTAATAGTCTTGTTGAGAAGTCTGAAGAAAACCTACAAAATAACTTTTGGTGTTGACGTAATGAACACTATTTCGTTTAAATATTACAGCGATTCAGAATACAAAGTTACCAAAATAGAAATTGGCACCGGTTCTGGTTCAGATTTCGGTGGAATATACACGTCGGAAGGACCTGGTATAATAATGGAAAACGCTAGAAATGTTATCGGTACGCCATCGTGCAAGGAAATCATTGGCAATGACAAGGCAAACCTTCTGATGGCTGTTGGAGGAGAAACTACCATTGATGCCAAAGATGGAGATGATACTTTGGTGAGTGGACGTGGTAGACACATCTTGAACGGTGGAAAAGGTGCAGACACGTACGTTATTCATGGCCCTCAGGTGAAGGACGTTTTAACGATTTCTGTTATAATGGGAGATGACGGTGAGACCATCAGATGTAGAACAACCATATTTGGCGAATGGAAACCATCAGAGAAACGACTTGAGATCGACCTCTTACAAGATGACCATGGCGACATTGTCTTGGCTTCTGTTGAAGTCATCACAGCCGAAGGTGACGAAAACAAAAACTTAGGCTCTTTAAAAATTGATAACACCAAAAGAAAACTTATCTTTGAGCCCGGTAATAACTTTAATGACTTGGAGAGAAACAGGGCTAAAGTTATTCGAGTATCTTTCACAACAAAAGGAAGCACTGCCACAATAAAGGAAGATGATTATGGAAATGTCTTAAGATTTGAGACCATAGAAAGCTTCGACGAGTTGAAGGTCACTATTAAAAATGATGAACTGGTCTTCAAGGATAGCTCCGATAACATTGTCTTTATTGATCAAAACTGGAAAAGGCTTGAACACAAAACCAATTTACTCGACCATATACTAGATTTTGGCCAGCGTTTTCCAGCGATTCTCTTTAGAAAAAGTGATGGTGAATTCGAGCGGAAGTCGACGAAGGAAACAGTGCAATTCATTTATGAGCAACTCAGACACATTGAAAGTGAGCTTGGACAAGATTACGACTCGTACATTGATTCAACTGAACTCTCGTCTGATATGGGCAATGAAATTTATGTTGGAAATGGTGAAAATATTGTCTTGGCCAAAACAAAAGGCAAAACCTACAGACTTGGGGAAATGTCCTCAAAAAGTATCATCTTTGCTAACAATTTTGTTGAAGGATCAGGAAAAGTGATCGTTAAAGTTGCTGACAGGTTCTCTTTAGTACGAATCAACACAGTAGTTGTTGGAGTTGGATCTGGAGAAGTAGTTGAACTTCAAAGGATGCATCACAACATCATCATTACTGGTGTTAATCCAGACGAAGTACACTTCTACAAATGTGGTAGTGCCAACATGAATAGACGTATTTGTGCCAAAGATTCAAAACAGCAAGAGTTCCTAATATTAAATGGAGGATACTGTCAAAAGCTGATCTTTAAGAAAGCCGAGAAAGTAACGATTATCATGAACTGTGACATCTACTTGGACACCAAAACCGACAAAGATGGTCGCCTACCATCCTGGCCCATTATTGTCTCATATGGAGCGAAGAAGGAATACAAACTGACCTTGCCAATCAAAAGAGATGAATCACGTGTCGATATATGGCCTCATCCTGACGGGAACGTCATAAGAGTCTATTTCAAGAATAAAAGACCTTGGCCAGATGCATACTGGAGTCTTTCATATTTGGCAATCCCAACAGAAACTCCAATGCCAAAGGAAATCGATACAAGAATGCTGGTCAACGCAATGAAAAGCAGGTTCAAGGGAGGCATCGAATTTTCTGATAAAGAGCACATTAACAAAGATGGGATCTGCCAGTTAATTGTTGATCTCCTGAAAAAACATCCACCGTCAAAATTCACCCTGACCAATCAGAACCTAGAGTGTCAAAAAAGCGAGAACGAAAACGAGTGAAAATAAAGCAAAGTCAGTTAAAAGTGCACGCAAATACAGTGCATTTTCAACCTTGTCATATAGAGTAGAAATATATATAAACCCGAGCAAATCCAAATAAAATTTCAGTTTTATTAATTGAACTGATCTTGTTTTTGTGGTATTACAGTATTGAAAACTAAAATCTCCAGTCCAATGAAATCAAATTAATACACGATTTTTATTTTACAAATTACATTTGTAATTGTCTCGATTACTTGTTTTGATGCAGAAAACCGTAATAAATCGTGATTAATTTAGTTAAAAAGGCCTCAGCCAAATTCAGAACTGTGCCTTGTTTTCCCCACTTTTAAACCTCTCATCGAAACGAATTTTGGCCATAATATAGCTAGAACAACGCTACGACTTAAGCATAAATGGATTTTCAAAACCTATTTTAAAATTATTTCTTATGGTCTTTGACGTTTTATCAGTTTTTATCACACCTACCAGGCTTTCCTGGTCCAATAAGGCTGTAAAAAATACTTCGAGAAACATTTTTGAAAAATCTTAGCGTTGCTCTAAAAATGTTGTCGCTGACTTTGGTTTCTAGAGGTTTTTGTTTTTTTTGTTTTCCTACTTTTAAAAAGGTGGGAAAACAAAGCACAGTTCTAAATTGGGTGTGGTCTTTTTCGATTTTCAAAAACTAACTGCAGTTTCAAAGATCCCTTATGACAAGTTTTCTAAAGGTATGTGCTTCATTGAAATGATGCAGTCTCTGAGGATTGTCATCTTTCATTCAAACTCGAAAAAGCTATATTTTGAGGCGAAATTAACGACTTTCACTCCGCAACTAAAAATGATTTTGAAAAGTTCTCTAATGTAGAAGATTAGAGCTCTATATAATAATAATAATAATAATAATATTAAAAATAATATGTGTTTATTACTTCCTTTCGCAGTCACTAAAATGTTACATGACTGAATTACAGGAACAGTGCAATAGCAGTAAGCGGACGAAACATTAAATAAAATTATACACAGCACGCCACTAGACATTCAAATATTTTACAGATACGAATTGGCTAAGTCTGTTTGTACGAGCAGGAGCAAGGCGACGGCTAGCATTCGAGCGTGGCTCATAATGTTGTGGTATATCCACTGTTCTTGCACATATAATCCTCTTTACCGGGTGATCTTCAGGCAAACTATTACTGTATTTATAACAAAGGTCGTGCCTGCGGCATTCAAGAGTGACAAGATTTGCTTTTGCAAGAGCATCATCATAACTGATTGCCGGGTAGATTATAGACAGGGCTCGTTTTTGAATTTTTTCCAGCGCATTACAAAGCCATTTTGTCATGTTTGCAAAAACGACGAAGCCGTACTCGATCTCCTATCTGATTAGTGTACAATACACAGCAACTAATTCTTTCTCAGACACACCACTTTTTTTAAGTTGGCGAAGCGCATGTAGCCTTTTGTTGGCTTTCTTGAGTATAACTGCACAATGTACGTCCCACGTAAGGTCGTGCGAAATGACGATACCGAGTAGTTTAAATTCGCTCGCGCGCTTCACGACCGTGTTGCCGATAACAATGGGACTCCACACGCAGCTGTTATACTCAAGAAAGTCAACCGCCATTGTATTACATTGTTTGGATTTAATCTCATGTTATGACTGTTCGCATACTGATGGATGTCCCCCACGAGGAAGTTCACGAGGAATGTCGAACCCTAAAACCCGAGATTGCTTTGTTTTTTCTTTTCTTTCTTTTCCAAGAAACTTGCGCGACTCTCTCAACAATCAGATGCAAAACTGAACTCAATCTTGACATGATCACCCGCGTTTTTCCGCGCTCTAGATGGTTGGCTAGTTTTTCTTTTGAGTTTTCATTGGCTCCCTAGGGTATTTCCTTTCCTCTGATTGGCTGTTGTGATGACTTTTCTTTTACTTTTAGAATGCTCCATTGAAAAACGCTCGTCTTCTTCTTGGACCCGACTTTCGCCGTTCTTTTGCATCCAGTCCTCTTTCTTCTCGCCCAGAGCAGCAGTTGGTTATCGATCCAAACTTCTCATTACATTAAGCCTTTTTTTCTGGTTGGCAATAGCGAAACCTTTGCTTTTGAAGGAAAGTGGCCGTAAGCGAACTCTTCTTGGGAATAACTCGGTTAAACTAAAAGAAAATTGTGTTTATTCCTATGTATTAGACTCCACAGAGTCCTTTGGTGAGGCCAGTTGCTCATGAGGAGTTATCTATCGACAACTACGCCCTTGGAACAAATGCTGTGGTGGCTGTTATCTCCTACACGGTTAGTACAATCAGGTGATAATGTTTTAGATGAAAACAGATAAAAATTATATTTCCACCGTATCGTAGTTTCACCATTGTTCAGAGCACAACGAACAGTTGATCGTTCAGAATCAACTGTTTA